AGCAATGTATATACTTCAAGGTAGGACAATACACCCACCAGCAATGTATATACTACAAGGTAGGACAATACACCCACCAGCAATGTATATACTACAAGGTAGGACAATACACCCACCAGCAATGTATATACTACAAGGTAGGACAATACACCCACCAGCAATGTATATACTACAAGGTAGGACGATACACCCACCAGCAATGTATATACTACAAGGTAGGACAATACACAAACAAGCAATGTATATAATACATGGTAGGACAATACACCCACCAGCAATGTATATACTACATGGTAGGACAATACACCCAGCAGCAATGTATACACACATATGGTGTAGGGCAATACACCCACCAGCAATGTATATACTACATGGTAGGACAATACACCCAGCAGCAATGTATACACACATATGGTGTAGGACAATACACCCACCAGCAACGTATATACTTCAAGGTAGGACAATACACCCACCAGCAATGTATATACTTCAAGGTAGGACAATACACCCACCAGCAATGTATATACTTCAAGGTAGGACAATACACCCACCAGCAATGTATATACTACAAGGTAGGACAATACACCCACCAGCAATGTATATACTACAAGGTAGGGCAATACACCCACCAGCAATGTATATACTACAAGGTAGGACAATACACCCACCAGCAATGTATATACTACAAGGTAGGACAATACACCCACCAGCAATGTATATACTATCAGGTAGGACAATATACCCACCAGCAATGTATATACTACAAGGTAGGACAATACACCCACCAGCAATGTATATACTACATGGTAGGACAATACACCCACCAGCAATGTATATACTACAAGGTAGGACAATACACCCACCAGCAATGTATATACTACAAGGTAGGACAATACACACACCAGCAATGTATATACTACAAGGTAGGACAATACACACACCAGCAATGTATATACTACAAGGTAGGGCAATACACCCAGCAGCAATGTATATACTGCAAGGTAGGACAATACACACACCAGCAATGTATATACTACAAGGTAGGACAATACACCCACCAGCAATGTATATACTACAAGGTAGGACAATACACCCACCAGCAATGTATATACTACAAGGTAGGACAGCACACACAGCAGCAATGTATATACTACAAGGTAGGACAATACACCCACCAGCAATGTATATACTACAAGGTAGGACAATACACCCACCAGCAATGTATATACTACAAGGTAGGACAATACACCCACCAGCAATGTATATACTACAAGGTAGGACAATACACCCACCAGCAATGTATATACTACAAGGTAGGGCAATACACCCACCAGCAATGTATATACTACAAGGTAGGACAATACACCCACCAGCAATGTATATACTACAAGGTAGGACGATACACCCCCAGCAATATATATACTACAAGGCAGGACAATACACACACCAGCAATGTATATACTACAAGGCAGGACAATACACACACCAGCAATGTATATACTACAAGGTAGGACAATACACCCACCAGCAATGTATATACTACAAGGTAGGACAATACACCCACCAGCAATGTATATACTACAAGGTAGGACGATACACCCACCAGCAATGTATATACTACAAGGTAGGACAATACACCCACCAGCAATGTATATACTACAAGGTGGGACAATACACCCACCAGCAATGTATATACTACAAGGTAGGACGATACACCCACCAGCAATGTATATACTACAAGGTAGGACAATACACCCACCAGCAATGTATATACTACAAGGTGGGACAATACACCCACCAGCAATGTATATACTACAAGGTAGGACAATACACACACCAGCAATGTATATACAACAAGGTAGGACAATACACCCACCAGCAATGTATATACTACAAGGTAGGACACTACACACACCAGCAATGTATATACTACAAGGTAGGACAATACACCCACCAGCAATGTATATACTACAAGGTAGGACAATACACACACCAGCAATGTATATACTACAAGGTAGGACGATACACCTACCAGCAATGTATATACAACAAGGTAGGACAATACACCCACCAGCAATGTATATACTACAAGGTAGGACACTACACATACCAGCAATGTATATACTACAAGGTAGGACAATACACCCACCAGCAATGTATATACTACAAGGTAGGACAATACACCCACCAGCAATGTATATACTACAAGGTAGGACAATACACCCACCAGCAATGTATATACTACAAGGTAGGACACTACACACACCAGCAATGTATATACTACAAGGTAGGACAATACACCCACCAGCAATGTATATACTACAAGGTAGGACGATACACACACCAGCAATGTATATACTACAAGGTAGGACAATACACACACCAGCAATGTATATACTACAAGGTAGGGCAATACACCCACCAGCAATGTATATACTACAAGGTAGGGCAATACACCCACCAGCAATGTATATACTACAAGGTAGGACAATACACCCACCAGCAATGTATATACTACAAGGTAGGGCAATACACCCACCAGCAATGTATATACTACAAGGTAGGACAATACACCCACCAGCAATGTATATACTACAAGGTAGGACAATACACCCACCAGCAATGTATATACTATAAGGTAGGACAATACACCCACCAGCAATGTATATACTACAAGGTAGGACAATACACCCACCAGCAATGTATATACTACATGGTAGGACAATACACCCACCAGCAATGTATATACTACAAGGTAGGACAATACACCCACCAGCAATGTATATACTACAAGGTAGGACAATACACACACCAGCAATGTATATACTACAAGGTAGGACAATACACACACCAGCAATGTATATACTACAAGGTAGGGCAATACACCCAGCAGCAATGTATATACTGCAAGGTAGGACAATACACACACCAGCAATGTATATACTACAAGGTAGGACAATACACCCACCAGCAATGTATATACTACAAGGTAGGACAATACACACACCAGCAATGTTTATACTACAAGGTAGGACAACACACACAGCAGCAATGTATATACTACAAGGTAGGACAATACACCCACCAGCAATGTATATACTACAAGGTAGGACAATACACCCACCAGCAATGTATATACTACAAGGTAGGACAATACACCCACCAGCAATGTATATACTACAAGGTAGGACAATACACCCACCAGCAATGTATATACTACAAGGTAGGGCAATACACCCACCAGCAATGTATATACTACAAGGTAGGACAATACACCCACCAGCAATGTATATACTACAAGGTAGGACGATACACCCCTAGCAATATATATACTACAAGGCAGGACAATACACACACCAGCAATGTATATACTACAAGGCAGGACAATACACCTACCAGCAATGTATATACTACAAGGTAGGACAATACACCCACCAGCAATGTATATACTACAAGGTAGGACAATACACCCACCAGCAATGTATATACTACAAGGTAGGACGATACACCCACCAGCAATGTATATACTACAAGGTAGGACAATACACCCACCAGCAATGTATATACTACAAGGTGGGACAATACACCCACCAGCAATGTATATACTACAAGGTAGGACGATACACACACCAGCAATGTATATACTACAAGGTAGGACAATACACCCACCAGCAATGTATATACTACAAGGTGGGACAATACACCCACCAGCAATGTATATACTACAAGGTAGGACAATACACACACCAGCAATGTATATACAACAAGGTAGGACAATACACCCACCAGCAATGTATATACTACAAGGTAGGACACTACACACACCAGCAATGTATATACTACAAGGTAGGACAATACACCCACCAGCAATGTATATACTACAAGGTAGGACAATACACACACCAGCAATGTATATACTACAAGGTAGGACGATACACCTACCAGCAATGTATATACAACAAGGTAGGACAATACACCCACCAGCAATGTATATACTACAAGGTAGGACACTACACATACCAGCAATGTATATACTACAAGGTAGGACAATACACCCACCAGCAATGTATATACTACAAGGTAGGACAATACACCCACCAGCAATGTATATACTACAAGGTAGGACAATACACCCACCAGCAATGTATATACTACAAGGTAGGACACTACACACACCAGCAATGTATATACTACAAGGTAGGACAATACACCCACCAGCAATGTATATACTACAAGGTAGGACGATACACACACCAGCAATGTATATACTACAAGGTAGGACAATACACACACCAGCAATGTATATACTACAAGGTAGGGCAATACACCCACCAGCAATGTATATACTACAAGGTAGGGCAATACACCCACCAGCAATGTATATACTACAAGGTAGGACGATACACACACCAGCAATGTATATAATACAAGGTAGGACAATACACCCACCAGCAATGTATATACTACAAGGTAGGACAATACACCCACCAGCAATGTATATACTACAAGGTAGGACAATACACCCACCAGCAATGTATATACTACAAGGTAGGACAATACACCCACCAGCAATGTATATACTACAAGGTAGAACAATACACCCACCAGCAATGTATATACTACAAGGTAGGACAATACACACAGCAGCAATGTATATACTACAAGGTAGGACAATACACACAGCAGCAATGTATATACTACAAGGTAGGACAATACACCCACCAGCAATGTATATACTACAAGGTAGAACAATACACCCACCAGCAATGTATATACTACAAGGTAGAACAATACACCCACCAGCAATGTATATACTACAAGGTAGGACAATACACACACACCAGCAATGTATATACTACAAGGTAGGACAATACACCCATCAGCAATGTATATACTACAAGGTAGGACAACACACACCAGCAATGTATATAGGTATATGTCGTTGTGTTCCCCTTGTCCCGTTCATGTCATATTCCGCTCCTTCATCCTGTGTTATCCAGGTTCGGGATGCTATGAGATCGGTTCCACCGGACAGCACACTTCTGGACAGATCGGCAGTTCCAGATCAAACCTGTTTGTCCAAACTACCATATTGGCCATAAAAGCAAGACTTGTTTCATGAATAAAGCAAATAAAACAGCATTATCGTGTGATCATGTATTACGTCTGGCCGAATGACCTTCATTATGTTACCCCTGAAAAGAAATATACTTAAAGGTAATATTTGTTTGTAAAAAGTTATTTTATTCTTTAGAAATATTCTACACCGCATATTAACGTCAGTACGTATACATTTATGAAAGTATCATTCGTTGTTTGTGTTGCAGATATAATTGAAGATATGAAGATATATAAGTGTGGGGCGAGGGGGTTGTGGGAATAATTCAGGCCAACTTGTTCTTCTGGTGGTGGGAATTGTGCGTGGATGCGTGCGTGCGTGTGCACGCAAAATCAGCTACCACTTTACGAATAACTCTGCATTACAGAAAGCAGTTTGAGACAATCTTTATTTCAATTGAACTAAAAGAAAAACCATATCATAAATCGAGGTTTATGTCATGTCCCCTCATACATAGAGCAGCTTGAGATTCATGAGTTTAATGCAATTACAACTCTACTTTTATCAAATGAAAATTCAAAACGTCAACGAAACAGCATGACCATTCTCGAATTACTGCAAAAACAGATTTCATGGGGCGTATAAAGAATGGCAAATAGATGGAGTAGCCGAATAGTTCATCGTGAGACTTTTCTGCTGGTTTCAAAACAATAAATAAAAATGGCAAAACCCTTTCCATAATCATAAGGAATCTCTGCTGAACACAAAATTTATTGTACGATTCCGACTATGTCATAAGTATGTGTTAATGAATCACTATCAAATGGCGGTGATTCTATATATACTAGATGTCCCGCAAAAACACTGGAACATGTGGTTGAAGTCAAATTAGGGGATATCATCAGACATCATATCTGTCACTGATGCGTCAGTTTAAAAATGTCCCCCACATGTCTACCATAAGACCCGTTGAAAGCTTCACTAAGGCTCGATGATGTACCCTGTTCCAACATCTTTTGAGCTAGAGTCTGTTTCCACCCTTATACGAACAGCCTAATAATAAGCTCTTTCTCAAAATTATAGGTCAAATCTCACAAAATGTCTGCATTTCCATTAATTTATATGTTTACAGTTTTATGAAAACTCTGTGCTTCTTTATTCCAGTTTATAATTACTCATATCAAAAACGTTTTCATCAAAATAATTAAATTTCATTTACATATATATGAAACTCACATGCCTGTGGTACCGCCTCCGTGGTCTTGTGGTAGAGCGTCCGCCCGGAGAGCGGAAGGTCCAGGGTTCGATGCCCGGCCGCGTCATACAAAAAGACGTTAAAAGATTGTACTTGTTACCCTGTCTGGCGCTCGGCACTAAGGGGCTAAAACAAGGACTGGACGGCTCGGAGTCAGTATACTGTGTCTGAGTGGGGTATTCATGTTAAACTGCGGCATGGTATCTCATTGATTTAGAACTATAAATCGGCATCAGTCCGGACTAGTACAAGTAGCCTCACACACATACACGTGCATGCACGTCGCTATATAAGTGCAATAATTTTGGACGCGACGTTAAACCCAATTTCACCTCACCTCACATGCCTGTGCTTGTCAAGTTATTAATGTCTACAATCATGTGAGAGTTTTAACAGTACTTAGGCTCATAACTCACAATTGCGACAATGCATTCCACTCTCTAACTAATTACATCAATAGTTTCAACCTATATGTTATGTGTGGTGTAGCATATTTATAATTTCAATTTATTTTATGTTAACTGTCTTTTTTCTTTTTGTTTCTCGCTTGTTATCTGCTCCAATGCATCGACAAGTAGGCTTTGAATAGCGCACATCTCTGCACTTTTCTCTGCACCTACAATTCTGAATATCCTTTTTCCAACTGCCTGCCTCCCTGAATGTGTTTAATGCAATTACAACTCTACTTTTATCAAATGAAAATTCAAAACGTCAACGAAACAGCATGACCATTCTCGAATCAATGAACTTCCCTATCAATGTAAGCTTCCGCTGTGACATGGCAGTAAAATCGAATGTTTCAATCATATGGCTGTTATTGCTATTTGAAACCTCTGATTGATCAATCGGAATCAGTTATATTTCCTATTCCTTGGACCCGTTCCACAAAGCGATCGTAGCGCTAAGACTAACTAAGCGCTAGCTCCCACACTTTAAGATAGACTTACGATTGTAGTAACGCTACGATCGCTTTGTGGAACGGGGGCCAGGCCCTTAACGACGCATCTTCCCGAGGCAAGAGAGTAAACTGACTTTAAAAGTCCAGTTTCCACCCTTGCCGGACTAGGCTAGAATTCCTGGGCTCTATCGTAGCGCCACCAGTGGCTATTACGAGTTATGTCCCTTCTGAGCCTCTCCTTTAGACCAATCAGATTCCACCTCTCGTATCACTTGCATTTGCTTGAAACAAAACAGTGGCGCCCGTTCGAGACGATCTGATTGATAATCAAGGTCTAGGTTGTGATAAAACGGGTCTTACATCGCGCAATGCGTGAGCACCTTGATTAAAAACATGAAAAGATTTGGAAAATATCTTTTGACAACGAGTTGACTGCACATGCTTTGCAAATCCTGCAATCGACCGAAATATGCAGGACAGTTTACGAACCGGATTACGATTTCGATGCACGATTTTGATTGGACTATGCATAGACTCGTTAGTCCAGCCAAAATGTAACTCCATAATACCAGTCTAGATCGGCAAGGGTGGAAAATGGACTTTTAAAAGTCAGTTAACTCCCTTGCCTTGGGAAGATGTTAACGACTCTGCTGCATGATGGTATCATATGTTCCATTGTCAGCCCTGGTGACGTCATCTAAATACGAATAGACGTTGTTGGTCACACCAGCCTCACTGTCAGCCTGCTGACTTCCTTCTGTTGTTTGGTAATTGACAATGACGTCATTCATCTTCACAGCCTGGTTTACGTCAGCCGTTTTCCATGACAACCTGGAACATATATGTTCACAAGTTTAAGAGAACGGAATAAGGATCCATACCGCAACGTCCCCTTTACAGTAATTAAAGAAGTTGTTTTCCATAAATTGCGTCTACTTTGTCATCCGTCAACTTCTGGGTAATGCCTGTCAAACAAAGTTAATGGAAGATGATAAGTGATCAAGAGTAAACTAGGTGAGGTGAAGTGAGGTGAAGTGAGGTGAGGTGAGGTGAGGTGAGGTGAGGTGAGGTGAGGTGAGGTGGGTGGGGTGAGGTGAGGTGAGGTGAGGTGAGGTGAGGTTTAACATTAAGATTATTGCACTTATATAGTGACGTGCTTGCGCGCGCGCAGTTTAACACGAATACCCCACTTAGACACAGTATACTGACTCCGAGCCGACCAGTCCTTATTCAAGCCCCTTAATGTCGAGCGCCAGGCAGGGTAACATCAAGTACCATATTTTAACGTCTTTTCGTATGACGCGGCTTGGGAAGTGAACTAGGACTGACATGTATATCGATACATAGATAAGTTTATAGAGAGGCAGCCAAATCCATTTTCATTTGGCCTCATTGTAATATACATATAGCTTATACTTGAATGCAAACGTAAGGTCATACTTGTGTATAATTAAAAGGAAACTCTCAATTAACGTGTATTATATATCACTGTAAGTGTTAATGTGTGGACTGCACTACGATTACTATTACCTGGCATAATTGTGTATATGACTATCATGACTGTACCAAACATCTAACGACACAGGGTCACCAAACGGTAAAGGCTACGTACGCGTATAATGTGACATTTAAAGTTTAAACAAAGCTCGCAACATGTTTATTAAAAGAAAACTTATTATTATGTTCAAACTCCACCTGTTACATCAGATCAGTTAAAAACAAATAATAATACTCGCATTTTTTTCACATATCAAATTATTCCTTCATAATATATAGTACTCGTCAACATTATTTATAAGAGAGGGGCGGTCGGGTAGCCTAGTGGTTAAAGCGTTCGCTCGTCACGCCGAAGACCCGAGTTCGATTCCCGACATGGGTAGAATGTTTGAAGCGCATTTCTGGTGTCTCCCGCCGTGATATTGCTGGAATATTGCTAAAAGCGGCGTAAAACCATACTCACTCACTATAAGATAAATAAATTTACAATATAGTTCAGTGTAATATGGATATTTGACAAGCTCATATTTTCCAATCTCTTTTATGCAGCAATTTCCTCATTAATATGTGATTTAACTGATCTAAAGATTTCTTATAAATGTGCTAATTAATGTATGCATATTCGAGAATAATGTAGGCATGCAATTAATAAATCATTAGAAAATTTATGCCGATTACCTCCCAGTTCGCAAGAGACACATCATGAGAGCACCAATCAACAGCAGCGTTACAACGATTCCAACAGCTCCTCCAATCAAACTCCACATCACTTGCGAGGAAATCCTCACAGGAGCAGCAACCGTCACGGTGGACATTGTCTGTGCTGTGTAACATGGAAAAACTGAACTTAAGCTAACATAACAGCTTATACATTAACACTTTGAACACTTTACCATTTAGTCATCATGAGGAAAAGTGTGAAAACGGAGAATTAACCAGTCTCGATTATCCGCCACAACAGATTCCACTGGGCGAAAATTTGAAACTTATAAGAATGGATCACTGAGCTTGAATGGAACTTCTACTGTTGTGTTCGTAAGCATCTCATCTCTCTGTACCTGTCTGATGTCTCAATATTAGAATCTCACAAACGTTCAGCAAACGTTTATTCAATTAAACAGTTTTGTGTTATGGTGACAGAGTGAGTGAGTGAGTTGGGTTTAACGCCGCTTTAAACAGTATTCCAGTTATATCGCGGCGTGTCAGCCTCGTGTCGGAGGAAAGCCCGAAGTGATGCAGGTCTCAGACGTTTACCACTTCGGTGAAACCCACTAGCACGGGTATGGTGCTGACAAACCTAGAAACATAATTGGGGCAAACCGGGATTCGAACCCACAATCATAGGTTTCTGGCGTGCCCAAGGGACGCAACTCTGCACAGCGAATCGGCGCCTAAGACGACTTGGACAATATAAGATACCACGGGATAGATGA